AAAAAAAGTAAATAAAAAAACGAATATCGAATACCAAATTTTCATAACGAATACCTACCCATAGAAACGAATATTCGAATATCCGAATATTTGGGTACAGCCCTAGAAATAACTGACCAAAAATATTGAAGTTTTTCACAATATTGTGATTTATTGAGATGCGCCAGTATATAACAATGAGCAAAGTATGTTTTAATAAAGTATTTTAAACAATCAAATTTTACTCATTCCTTAATTCCACACAAAATTATGCTAATATTGTATTTTGAGAATTGCTTGAGTTTATTATAGTAATAACACATTGAAAATATACCAAAATGCTATTTATGATTTTTGGCTAGTGAAAAAAAATTTCTGGCCAGTAGATTTTTAAAGCTTACTAGCCACTTGGCTAGTAAGCCAAAAAGTTAAGTTTGAACCCTCCTTGTATGCGTTGTGAGACCACAGACAGCCACTTCAGAGATGAAATACCCATTTATAAGCATGTTGTTTGGCTCAGGATGTGCATTCAGCACATTAAAAGAATGCCCCCCCACCCCCCCCAAATGACCATATGTATATCAGTTACTCACCCTGTGTTAAGTTGAATTCCGGAGGAAAACAGCAAAGCTTTTTCGAAACATCCCTTTACAAACTCTCACACAACTGGTGCAGTACAAGTCTCATCTATCCAGTTGCAGTATTTTCCAAACAGACATCTCTTTCCAACAGGGGACTTAACTAAAAATTAAGCGTATTTATGCTCTCTGTAAAGCCGGACTCCAGTAACAAGAACAGTAATATTTGTCTCACTGGACACAACAGCTGCTGGTCTGCCACTGCCTCGATCAGTTAGTTTGTTTGTCTTAATGTGTGACTTTGGTGTTTTAAAGGGATAGTGCACCCAAAAATGAAAATTCAGCCATTATCTACTCACCCATATGCCGAGGGAGGCTCAGGTGAAGGTCAGGGGTTCGTTTGGACTCACCAAAGTCACACAATAATAGTAGCAAACTATCACTAAGGCAGTGGTAGACCAACAGCTCCTGTGTTCAGCAAAGGGAAATCACTGTTTTCGTCACTAGAGTTTGGCTATGAATAGAGCATAGATAAGTTTCACTTTCAGGTAGGTCCCTTGTCGCAAAGAGTTCTTCCCAAAGTCTGTTTGGGAACGACTGCCTGTCACGTCGGCCTCCCGGCTGGCCTCCAGCTCCACTCCGCCTGTCACGTCGGCCTCCCAGCAGCCCCCCAGATCTGCTTCACCTCTCGAGTCAACCTGCTGGTCGCCCTCTGGATCGGCCTTGGCCATCTGCTCTGCCTCCTGGCTGCCCTCCAAATTTGCTCCGCCTGTCTGGTTGACCTCCTGGCCACCCTCCGGATCTGCTTCACCCTCTGATCAGCTTCATGGTCAGCCTTCAGAGGTGTTCTGTCCACCTGGTCGACCTCCTGGCCAACCCCCAGATCTGCTCCACCTTTCCAGTCATCCTCCTGCCCGTCTTCCAGATCTGCTGGCCGCCCTCCCACTCTCCTCCACCTGTCTGCTCAGCCCACTAGTCAGCCTCCAGGCTGATTCGCCTATCATGTCAGCCTCCTGGCTGCCCTTCAGATTGCTACAGCATCCTGATCATCCTCCTGGTTGGCTCTGCTCAGATGTCCAGCCCTCAGTCTCTCCACCCGAGGTTCTCTGCTCCGCCCCCGTCCAGCCCTCTGGGCCTTCTGCCAGAGGTCCCTTGCTCCACCCTTGTTCAGTTTCCACACCAACATTTGAACAATAAGCCTCTCCAGCACACACACTCTTTGCCAGATTGTTCTTCAACCTCGTGCAAGACTTTCCAGCACTCCTTACCTGCCTGATCTCCTGTTATGGACCCTGCCTCCCTCTGACCTGCCTACGTCGTCTGTTTCCCAGTAAACTCACCAGCCTTCTGTCCCTGACCACGAGTTCTCCCTCAGCGTGTCTGGTTTCTGTCTGCCTGTGGCTGTGTGGTATCTTCCTGCCACGGCGTTTCAGCGTGAGTGTTCCTTGTTTTTGTCAGTTGCCTGGTGCAGCTCTGTGAGACACCACACACTGCCTTGTGCGTGTGTCCTCCTTTCACCTACACGTCGACCCTTATACCCAGAGACTGTGTGTGGAATGAACTATTACCTGGATACCTTTGTGAGTTCAAGTTTGCTTACTCTGTGTTCAAATAAAAGTCAGTACCAACTATCTCTGAGCGCTGCATTTGGCATATTAGAAGAACAAACCTTTCTACATGAATTCACTTTAGCACCAGATGAGTAATTGACACTCAAATGATCATTTTGGGGGAGAAGTATTCCCTGAAATACATTTACTCTGTGACCAGCTTTGCTTTGCTGCTGACCTCTCATGTTTGTTGCTTGAGCACATTTTTCCTCTTGGCACTCAGCGCATGTACATCTTAATGAAATCTTTTTTGTGATGCTTCCACTAATGGCTTATAATGATTGAAATGCTGCACACCCTGCTTTGTGGTATTTTCTGGCTGTTTTCTTTTATGCTGTAGTGGCTATGCTTGTTATATCACACTGCATTTTGCGTCCTCTCTTTACAGCAGGTTGCTCAAAGTGTATTTAACTGTTCAGAATAGAATAGAATAATGTTTATTCGGACATGTCTAAAAGAAACAAACAAGCTTTGGTTAGAAAAAAAAAAAATAATAATAAAGAAATAAAAAATGAAAGGCATGAATAATGAAGTTGCGTAAAGGTCAGCCATTCAGCAAGTCACAAAGACAAACCAAAGAAAACAAAAACAAACAAAAAAACAATCAAACAAAGAAATACAACTCGGAAACATATTTGCATATTTCACGTCTGAAAAAGAGCAGGAAGGAAGTGTGAACTTATCTAGTCCTATCCCCCCTTTTTTTTCTATATTTTATCTTTAAACTTTATGTTGAACCTAAATTTTTAAGCTTCCTGCTTCGTTTAACATATACAACTCAAACAAATCAAGCAAGAAATCCATAAAAATAACACTGCAATCAGAATGAGACATACTTCAACAACAGGACAACCTACATGTCCTGTTCCATCATATATCCCTTCAGTATGTTGTTTTTGAACATTCGTTTGAACTTATTTAATGATGAACATGCTTTCAGTTCCTTGTTGCAATTATTCCACAAGGTGACTCCTTTAACTGTAATACAGTGATATTTTGTATTTGTTCTCACTAATTGTTTGGTAAATATACTGGTTCCCCTCAGGTCGTGCTGGTTTTCTCTTATTTGAAACAACTTTTGGATACCGTTAGGTAATAGTTTATTTTTAGCTTTATACATGATTTGAGCTGTTTTGAAGTCAACCAGATCTTTAAATTTTAGAGCTTTTGATTTGATAAAGAGTGGGTTTGTTGTTTCTCTGTAAGTGGTTTTATTTACAATTCTTATGGCTCTTTTTTGAAGAATATAGATTGGATTTGTATTTGTTTTGTATGTGTTTCCCCACACTTCCACACAGTAGCTTATGTATGGAAGAATAAAGGAGCAGTACAAGGTGTATAATAATGTTTGATTCAAAAAATCTTTGACTTTGAATAGTATTGCAATTGACTTTGATATTTTGGTTTTGATGTAGTTTATATGTGGCTTCCAGCACAATTTATTATCTATTAATATTTCAAAAAAAATTGTTTTCAGACACTCTTTCAATTTCAACATTGTTTGCCATAAGTTTTCTTATGGAGTTTGTTGAGTGATTTTCCAAAAATTATAAATTTCGTTTTACTCAGGTTCAGTGTTAATTTATTATAATCAAACCATCTCTTTAAAGATTTCAGTTCCCTCTCAACTGTATCCAAAAGTTGTTCCAGGTTCGTACCACAACAGAGTAGAGTTCAGTGTTTTTGAATAGTATAATTGAATATTTCTGGAGTTATAAATGTGTTGTATGTAGTGTCGTGCTCTCAGGCTCATACTTAACCTCTGTCACCCACTATTCTTAGATTCAAAACACTTTAATGCACGGCTTTTATATGAGAACTCCTCTTTGGTGCTTGTTTTGGAGATGGATCTAGAGCAAAGAGATGGATGGCTGCTTTAGGCACAATGTGCTAATCTTTTATGTTGCCAGATATGGCAGATGTTAGTGTTACTATGCAAAGTGATGTGTCATTCTTGCTTTGCTTTGCGACATATTTCCACAAATAACAGAGTACAAAAGATAAAAAAAGCAGGTTGTAAGTTCTCCAGTGTAGAGTTACACACATTATCAGTTGAATACCAAGTGAATGTTGACATTCTTTGTGTGTGTTTTTCCTCTGTATTTATGCATGAAGAATGAAGAATTTGCCCTCCAGTCCAGCTCCCTCCAATGACAGTAATACAAAGATGATATTCTCCCAATCTGAAGTAAGTGACAGTATTGTGTGATTATTAGACATACGTTTTTCTGTACATAGTTCCATTTGCAAATGAATATGCTGTACTGTAACTATCACCCGAATGCAGCTCTTCCATGTCCTTATTTTGTGTGATTGTGCGTCAACAGCTGGAGACACTGATCGAGCAGGAGGTTGACACTGTATTTAAAAAGAGGGAAAACAAGCTGCAGGGTTTGATAGGTACTATTCAACAGCTGGATCGCAAGGTCGACTATGAAAGCTCCATGCAGAAACTGGAGGTTGGTGAAAGTAGTGGTGCGCATTTTTAACTAGCTAGGCATTGAAATGGACAGGGTTTCAACCACAAATTAACAACTCTGTTAATTTTATACTCCCATTTCTTATCACTTTAAACCAAAAGAACTAAACATGAATCTACTGGTGTTTGTTTCAAAGCCAAATCAGTGATAAAGGATACCTTAATCCAAATGAATCTTTACAGAATGTTCCTGTCTTCCTCAGGCTCAAATTAACACCATAACCAAGAGAGCAGAAGCAGCTATTGCCTACATAACAAAGACACAGAAAAAGGTTTGATGCAGCCAACACATGCAGTTACAATTTGTAGAAAGTATGCTCAAACACACAACAGTGAAAAGATTCTTGATATAATAATCTTGTTGTCCACTTTTGTAAAGTAACTAAGTAAAAAATGTGATGATAGGTACACAAGATAATGATGTTCAGTTTGAGATTTAAACTCTGCCACATGTGATCTGAACAAAACTGATTTTCCTCTCAGGGCCTCCTGCCATCTCCTGTTGATAACGAGATCATGAGGTATGTAGAATCAGGTTCAGTCGTGTTTGTCGTCAGTTAAAATGATGGAGATGTTGATGTAAATTTGTACTTGGTATTTATTTGCACTTTGAGATAATATGATTTAATGTCCAACTCTGCAGAGAAGACTCTGAGAATGAAACCACAGAGGCCACGTCACAGAGTAAGAACCCACTGAGTGTGTGCATGCTATTGAATATTTGCATTTTGGGATTGCACGAGTGTTAATTCTATGCAATTTATTTTTTGCAGCTGACAGAAAGAGCACAGATTGCATGGACAAGAGTGGAGAGCTCTTCAGAATGACAGTAAATATGCAGTTATATCTTGGAATGAATGGGTTCAATACAAGTGTATAAATCAGAAAAATGTCTCCTTGTTTAATTGGCAAAAAATATTTTCCCATGTTTTTGTGTCTAAGTGACCACTGGAGACAATTTTTTGTAACTGGTCCAGTATTGAGCAAGGGTGCTGCAGCAAGCAGCCACAAAACAGGCTTCAGTGTAATCACTGTGGGCATTTTTGTCATTTGACGACCACGAAAAGGGCTTGTTTTTGCCACTGACAGGCTCAGATTGTTATTTTAAGTGTTTGACAACATTAGGGAAAGGATCCCTACAGAGACAGACTTATTTTGTGAAAAAGTAGAAGCCTTTTTCTTCATCAGAAACAGTCCTGAAATTGCCACCACCCACCACACCTACACATCTAACTAGTCGAATTGTTTATTCCAACCAAACCAGAGCTGGTGATTGTTTGAACAATGTAAAGACAAAACAAGATGCTTTTTGTGTGTGTTATTTTGTTTCTAAATGAAGTGTGTTTTATAATGATAAAATTTCTGTTAATTCAAATCAGGGGTCTCAAACTCATTTTAGTTCAGGGGCCACATACAGCCAGTGGGCCACACCAGTAAAACCTTTACATAATACCCTATAAATAGTAACCCCTTCAAAATGTCCCCCTTTTTTTAAGTGTAAAGTTGGTCATTCTGAAAACGTCGATCCATTTAAAAAACTAATGATGAACAGCCCGAGATGTCTGAAGAAAAATATGTGCAAATTCAACAGTTTTTCTACAACTCTCTTTCAACACGTGAATGTTTTTCATCTTTCTCCACTAAAATGGAAGCTACTGAAGAAGCAGGTTACGTCGTCCCCCGCCTAACAGTTTTGTCAGTGTGACGTGTTCACACCAAATGCGACGCAACGATTGACTATTTTGTGTCGACTCGCTTCATAAGTGCATGAAATCGCTGAATCAATGAAGTTCCGCCGGTATGTCCTAGGCGTCCTATGTCCCCAGAGGATCTCAATGCTGATTGGCTATTGCAGCGCAAATCAGTCGCTGAAGTTTAGATTTCTGAACTCTCACAAATAAGCACATGATGAGAAATCTCACTGACCACAGGAAGTATTCATCGTTATTTCAGAGAGCTGTACACTGTTTGGGGCGGAAAGACTCTGAAGCAGCATTTTCTGTGACGCCTCTCAGCCTTCACAGGTGTATTCATATCAGGTGTGCAAAGTCATCCAGTGGGCGGGATTGGACCCTCTTGCGAGCTATGGGTGTGACACCGCTGATTTAAATAAAGTCTGGTGGCTTTGGTGATAGCGATTTCAGGGCTGTTTCTGTTTAAACAAAAATGATCTTAGTCTTAAACAAAAAGTTCCTTCTCTGTAGGAATCCTTTCTATAATGTTGGCAGACACTTAGAATAACAAGCCTGTCAGTGGCAAAAATTCAGAGGACATACATTGAGGGTGCACAATTGCTCAGAGTGGTTACATTGCAGCCTGTTTTACAGCTGCAGCAATCTTACTCAATCGTGGACCAATTTTGAAAATTGCTGTCTCTATTAGTCATGTAGACACAAAAACACGAGAACAGAGGGTCCAGGTTGAAAAAATACAGAAATTACCCTTTAATGTGGTGGCTTACACTGTTTCGTATGAACTAAAAACAGTGTAAACACTTATGTTGAAGTTGGTCGATTTTTTTCTGTCCAGGAAATCACAAAAAAGGCACTTAAGAAGATGCATGATGATAATGAAGGTGAGGTGGTTATACACTGTATATACAAGTGGATGTTTGAATAGCTGAAAGTTTAAACTGTCTAATGTAGCTTCTGGTGACATCATCTCACCACGCAGTGAGAAAAACTGACACGATAAGCTGCTATAATGACCCAAATTAAATAATATGAGTCAGTGAGCACATGGATTAATAACCACATCCTTTATTTCTACTCTTCCCTGTCCCTTTCCCTGCTACTTGTCATTGCACATAATCCATGTTAAGTTTTGAAGGCTGCCATAGCAGATTTAAGTGAGGAGCTGCCTCATCCGGTTCTTACCCCTGACGGCTCTCCTGACTGTGAGGTAGGATGCCTCATTTTTTTAATACATCCTCTTCGAAACATGCCACGCATAAATATGTAACGTGTAGCAAATGACAAGCTACTCATGCACGTGAAAAAAAAAAATTGGGAGTTTTCGCTAAAACCCTACATCACTTATCCTTTTGAGTTAATTCTCATCGTTAATATTTTGAGTCATGCCTTTATTTACTCACAGTGTTACGTTGTGTAATGCAGGGGCTCATCACGTCAATAAAGAAAGAGCCAGAAAATGAGCAGGAAACAAAGAACAATGTTGAGGAGTCCAAGCAGCGTGAGGAACCAAAGGCCGGGAGGGTGAACGTAGAAGGTCTCTCAACTGTCCATAATAACCTGGTAACAGCCCTGTACACAGACTCAGAGCAGGTAATACACACTCCCAAACTAACCCACTGTAGTAATTCACTCGACTGTTTGATACTAACGTTAACCCCCACTGCCTCCCTGCTTTTCTGACCCTAAGGCCAAGTACCTGTACCCTCCTCTTCCCTCCACCACTTTCCCCTCCATCCTGAGCATGGAAGCAGCCTCATACAACATTCCCCAGAGACCAAAGGTGCTCCTGGCTCTCATCAGGAACCCTCCTGGCCTGTCTGTAATGTGGGATGTGGAGGAGAAAGACCCCTCTGAGCCACCAATGGAGAGTTACAGGTGAGAAGCAGCAGAGAGTGAGACATTATGTGTTGAGAAGGCAGGTTTGAGCCGGGCTACCCACTGGATAAAATCACCCAATTGGGATCTGGGGAATTTAGAGGCCAGGTTGATGCCTTTGGCTCTTTGTCATGTTTCTCAGGCCATTCCCTGCAGTGTGACATGATGCGTTGTCCTGCTTCACCTCACTTGTGTAGGGGAATGTTTGCACTCGTAATAAAGTTTGGGGCACCACCCTCCTAATGATGAAAGCAACTAATCAAACTAATAACTCTGTAAACCAATTATTAATTCGTTAGCACGCTTATCAATAATGAATCAATCTCAATATCTGGTTTATGAATTCTCTATACAGGGATCTTAGTTCCTGTTCAAAAGAGATACAGTGCCCTCCAAAAGTATTGGAACAGTGAGGCCAATTCCTTTATTTTTGTTGTAGACTGAAAATATTTGGGTTTGACATTAAAAGATGAATATGGGACAAGAGATCAACATTTCAGCTTTCATTTCCAGGTATTTACATCTGGATCTGATACAAAACTTAGAAGATAGCACCTTTTGTTTGAACCCACCCATTTTTCATGTGAGCAAAAGTATTGGAACATGTGACTGACAGGTGTGTTTTGTTGCCCAGGTGTTTCCCAATTACATTGATTATTCAAACAATAAATAGCACTGAATGTCTGAGCTCAGTTTCAGATTGGGTACGATAGGTTTTGCCTGTGCAGACTGCATTTAGAGGTGGAACCAACATGAAAACCAGAGAGCTGTCTATGGGTGAAAAAGAAGCAATTGTGAATCTGAGAGAAGATGGACAATCAATCAGAGCCATTGCACAAACATTGGCCATAGCCAGTACAACCATTTGGAATGTCCTGAAGAAGAAA